AAGTTCTTCTAGATATCCTTAACAACATTATTCATCAATTCATACTCTTAGTTCAACAATCATTTCATCCAGAATATTCATCATCATTAATCCATAATATTCATAAAAATGAACAATCAATCAATCATCATAATAACTAATAACAATCAGCGGCCTAGCATCGAGTGTTAACACCCTAGCTTACCGTCATGCATCACATAAGATCCCTTTTAGTTGTTAAAATACCATCTTTATTCCAAGAAATCATCCTTTTATTAATCATAATGGTTTGGTATCAAAATATAGGATTCCATAACTCAAAAATCATATTTTCTAAATAACAATTGATTAATATATGATAGGAAATTCAATTATTAGCTATTAGCTTCATTTTCTTCAATAGTGTAGGGTGACAGTCTACTGTCACTTCTGATAATCTACTGTCTGATGTTTAGAATGGGCTAATAATCGATTATCACACTCTGATAATCGATTATCAAACTTCAGAGAGGGCTGACAGTCGATTATCACATTCTGATAATCGACTGTTGCTCAGCTTTGTTACAAAAATCTGCAGAACGATGAATAATCGATTTTCAAGTTGATAATCGATTATCCATCGTCTTCTACCTCGAGCCAACTTGCGGAAATGTCACTTTTACTTACCAAACTTCAATTAAAGTATATAAAAGTGTTCTCCAAGGTTCATAGATCATTTTAGCATCATTAATTCATAGTTTTAACATCAAAATCATGGTTTACGATTCTTAGTTCTTCAAACATGTCAAACACAAAACTCAACCAAATGAACGTTTATGAACGTAAAATCGATCTATATGAACATTCTAGTCACTAGATATATCTACGGGCTTATCTCAAAGCTTGATGGAGGTTTTGGAAATATTCCGGTGAAACTTCCGGCGAGTATAACTCTCAACTCCGACGACTTCACACCAAATTGACAACACCACTGCGTTCTCCTCACTCAGAGCAACATAATAGGACGAAATATTTTGAGAAATGGTGAAGAAATGGTTAAGCTTTGGTAGTCTTATATAGGAAGGAGATGGGGAAAAACTTCCAAGCCTGCTGTATCATTCCAATCGGCGTATCCTTGTAGTGGAGGAGGAGGCGCAGTCTCTACAGTGTCCCTGATTGGGACCAATTTTGGTTCCAATTGGGGTACACTTTTTGGTCCAACTTTCTCCGAATTGAAATCTGTTTGCATCTTTGCGATCAGACAGTCGAATTCTATCCAACTATATAATTTTTATATTTATTTGAAATACTTTTTCCGACATCATATTTTTGAGTGTTTGACTTTGACAGAATCAAAATTGGTTTATTTGGCCTTTATTCAAAAAGGTTCTCACATTTAATTCATATCATTTGTTCTCATGATTTATTTCAATAAATCATTTTAAAGTTCATATTATAAATAATTTCTTCATTTGTTCTTGATTTGGGTCTGTACTCAAGTTTCCAATCAAGACCACACAATTAGTCAACATATTGGATTTATCTCTATGCGACTTATCCAGATTTTGATATTGGAAATTAAAACATATTTCATATTGGCCCAAAGCCCAACAATAATTTATTTTAATCAAAACAAATTTGATTAATTGAATTATTCATTAATAATTTTAGGGTATGTTTTGGGGCGTTACAAAACAAATATTATATTCCTAGATTTATATTTAAAGATGTTTATCAGATATTATTTTTCTGCTAATGAGACTAACATCTTGAAATAAATTTTTATCTAAATGTCCATCTAATGCATATGAGACTTGTGTGTGTTGGATGTTTGACTTAGTGTCATAGTCAATGACGGAGTGTTCGCATCCGCACATGAGCAGATATTATCTAGAGATAATAGGATGTCAGACTGACCCATCTTAAAGATGTTTTTTGAACTTTTAGTTCATGCTCTAAGCATCTTTAGCGCAACCACAGGTGTAACTATCCTTCGACTTGAAGTATTACGTTCTCTGCATATGTGAACCCACATGCTTTAATTTGATGTATTGTCCTAAGCCATATGAAATAAGGATGGTATACAGGATTTGTTTTGGGTATGCCGCATCGCGTATTCAGAGACATAGATTATGTGTGGGGCTCACTGATAAGTTATGACTGAGGAAATTGCATGGCCATGCAGAGATGCTTTTATGACGTCTGTTCTTATCAGTCAGACTTGATAAATCAATGAATGGATTAATGGATACAAATTGGATTTTATAATCCCTTGCATTACGTCTAGACATTGAGACCAAGGGATACAGTTACACAGAGTCTGAGTCATGGAAGGATTTTGACAGTGCAAACGTCTTAACTTATA